GGGGGGGCGGGGGGATGTGTCTCTGCTGCATTGATTTGACTGACGCAGCTGGTGGAGTGGATGACCAATGGGGTCATGCTCAGCTGTAAGTACCTGTCTGTCGTGGCCGGCCGGCCTGCGTGCGTGCGTTGTGTAGTCTCGTCTCGTCTTGTTTTCCGTGCTGTGCTCTTCTCTCCGTCGGTGTGCTGCTCTTCATGGCTGCATGGCACCACACCACACGCCACTGATTGACGTGTGTGTTATGGGTTGATGTGACCAACACACTGGTTAGTAACGTCAGTCTCTTCATGTCATGGTACTTACCATGCACACCATGCCTCATGCACTTGACTTGATGTGCGTATGCGTTTGTTTATGGGTGCCTGCCTTTCGGACGTTCCCTCTCTTACACACTCACTCGATCGCAGGACGCACACACACATCCATCGCTTGTCATCTGGCACCTTTCCCACCACACCCACCACACCCCCTTACTTGCGCACCGACCCTATCAGCCAGCCAGCCAGCAAGCCAGCCAGCCAGCCATGCAGGCCCATCCATCCTATTGGCATCGCATCATGCGAGTGTGTCACTACATAAACACCAACCAACCGAGAGAGACAGGTCGACTGACTCCACCACACACAGAATTGACAGCAAGCAGTGAGAGAGAAGGTTCGTTCGTATGGAGTGAGTGGAGTGGGTGGCCGAGCGGGTTGAAGATATGAGTGGGGAACGTAACGCGTAGATCAACAACACACACAGCAGCCAGCCATTCGTGTGACCGTTTTGCCCCTCCCTCCATCCATCCATCCACCCGTCGCTCCCTGCTCAGTTGCGAGCAGAGAAGGAGAGGCCAGGGGAATCTGTGCAGTCATATGCGCGTTCTCTGCCTCGATACTCCTGAATAAACCCGTGTGGATAAGAAAAGTACCTCTACGCTCTCTGTCTGTCTGTCTGTCTGCCTGTCTGATGGGCAGAAAGACAACTCGGATCAACGCAAAACGTAGGAAGTAAAAAGCAAAAATTTAGCAAGAGTGGTAGAAACAGACAGAGACAAAGAGAGAACGCCCGAAACAAAGCACCCCAAATCGGAAAGAGCGACAGAGAGTGTCAACGACGCAACCTTCCAGCCCCCCGTTCCTGCCACGCATCGCCGAACCAGCCAGCCAGTCGAGTAAGTCAGTGGGTCAGCCCATTTCTTGCCCCTTCGGCGGGTCCAGCAAGCCAGCTCATTCAATCCATCAATCCCTCCCTCCATCCTGCCCAAATCGACCGGTCCCCTGTCGTCCCCCCCATCGCTGCCCCCTCGCCGCCCCCTTGCCGGCAGCTCCACAGACCGGGTCCCCCTCCCCCTCTCCCTCTCGCCCCGGCCATCATCCAGCACCCACCTTCGCACATACGTCACGCTGGTGCCGTCGTGATCATCGCACAGTGGTAGATGGGCATGCTCGCATCGTCGTGCTCGTCGCCGCGTTCGGCTGAGGCGTCGTCTGGCTCCTCGGGTATGGGCGGGAGACGGCATGATACACTCACTGTGCAGGGGGTGGGGAGGGGGCGGGGGCGCGCTGGGCAGAAGCGATAATGGGACAGGTCATGTTCCGACAAGGGGCCCTGCAGACAACAGACGGAGCACACCACAAGGGCGACAGACAGGTGCATCCGTGCCAACGTCAGTCAGCCGATGGGTGGATATGCCTGCGTGCGCTGCACTGCGCCTTGGCTGTATGCCAACCTTTCGGACTCTTGAAGGACCATATGCGTTTTCTTGACGTCATCGAAGTACAGCTCCCAGTCGTTGCGCTCGTGGTTTCCCTCCCAAGGTGCGCATCCCAACTGAGTCAGTCCACTGCTGCAGAGGGAAGAGACAAAGACAATATGAGGAAGGGCGATGAGTCTCTCTGCCTTGTTTAGACTCACCACCAGCGGGCGTGTGTTGTCGTCTCCGAGCAAAGCGGCAGCCTGGTCACACTCGGCTGCCTTGGCAGCGTAGCCACGACGCCGAAGCTCGTGAGTGACACACCTTGACAACGCCGCCTGTGTTGGTCGTCTGCCGTATAAGGGACACGTTCTTGCGGCCACTCAGTCAGGGTCTGCACACAACACATGCCAAACAGCCACACATGCCAAACAGCCACACATGTATGCGGGAGGGGTCGATAGTTCACCTTAATTGTCGAACTCGTCGAAGAGGTTGTCGAGCTGCGGTTTTCGTTGACTCGGATTCATAGAGTCCCACTCTGTCACACTCTCAGGAACACCGATGACCTGAATAAATGACACATGGGCAAGGAAGAGAAACCTCGAAAGGAGTACATATGTGATCGCACGATGTCTCATTTGCTCACGTGGTGCTTGCAGATCCATCCCAATCCATCCATCCATCCCAAGAGGCCACACAGTGAGGCCGCCCCGCCACCAGTCAGCAAGGGGGCGACGACAACGCTCCGAGAGCGCCTGGTGAAGCGGCGTCGGCAGGCACATCACCAGACAGACAGACCTGCAACAAACATACACAAACAAACATTGCAAACCGGCAGGTCTCTGTCACTCTCGGATGGATCTCTCACCGGGCAAATGACAGCCGTCCGTCGATGTCTGTCGCTGCACCGCTCACAGCGCTCTGCTCGCCCGCCTCATGGACGCACTCACTCCCACGTCGGCTGCACTGCGCGACGTGTCCAAGACCAAGGCTGAACACATAACATACACAAGGGAGAGAAGGCACTGGCTTATCTGCACTGTCTTCCTTCTGGCACCGCACCCAGGCGGCTCACCGCACATCAGATCTGCCAGATGACCCTCCTCATTCACTCAGTCATGCCCTCGTGTCATCCTTGGCCGCTCGCGGGCGCTGCCCGCTGACAAACAGACAGAGAGGGAAGGACACCTGCAGTCCGACCAGATCTCATCGTCGCCCATCAGCAGTCTGTCTGCAGTGCTCTCTCTCCTTCGGTCACCTGGTTGGCTCTGATTCCTTAGGACCCCCGACAACACACATTTAAGCGCCAGATCACCGCTCCCCTCAGAAGATCGTCCGTCACATTCAATTTCTGAGCTCCCGGGCCCCATCCAACGCACTTTGGCCCCATCGCCCCTTCCTCCCCTCCCCGATCGCTTTGCGAGCTTAGCTCGGTGATTCGCAAATGAAGCATTCGCTCGCTGCTGCAGTCATTCCCTCGAGCAGGCCAGGGCCTGCCAGACACAACCAAAACCGAAGCAGTCACGAGATTCTTCTTCGGTGCTGGCTTGTGTTGTTCTGACCTGGTGCTCATCCCCCTGCTGTCTGATGGCCCCTGGAGCATCTCATTGGCCTCTCCGACGTGGCTCATTCCCCTCTGTGGCTCTGAATTGCCCTTCGACTCGTTCCCACCAGCTGAGGCGAGAAAAGTGGCTGAGGTCTTCCCGCAGCAGTGCAGCAGAGCTGAGCTGAGCGTCAAGGCTGACGGCATCCAATCCATTGCACATCAGCCGCCGGATGCCACAGAGGCGCATCGCATCCGTGGGGGCCAGGGTGGTCTCCGGTCTCTCCTTCTCAATGCCTTTGGTTGCCTTGGCTGTCGGCCTGCTGGTCATGGCCCTGCTGCTGCTCAGTCGTGTCACGCGGCACGCCAAAAGGGCAGCCGAACGGCACGGCGGACGGCCTCGCCCTCCACACCTTCACAGCCAGATCAGACAGACAGACGATGAGATAGATGCTCATTGCTGACTCTGTTGGTCGCTGTGGTTGGTGTGGTTGTCCTTGATCAGATGCTCATCGTCCTGTTGTTGCTGCTGCGCTGCACTGCGTTGCGGTGCGTCGAGCAGTCGGCGAGCTATAGCCGAGACAGATCCGAATCCTTGACGGAACCACATCTGCGAGGCTTGGCGTGTACTGTCGTAGACGTCAAAGGAAACTGGTCTGTCCACTGAGTTACAGGTCGGTCATCGTGCTGCTTTGATCTTTCCGGTCCCGCCGCCCGCGCCACAAAGCAGAAGGTGAGAGTCACAGTGAGTGGCAGCCAACCAGATCTTCAAGAGGACAGACGAGCAGGAGACTCACCCATCCCACCGCAGCAACCCTTTTGCGTGCCTGCCTGTCACTTCAGGCTTCGTCGCATCTTGTGCGTTTCACCCGCTCCTGACGCAATCGGTGACTCAAGTGAGCTGAGCTGCACTCGCACAGCACTCTGCACCTCACGGCCACTGCTGCGCACCCACTTGTCAGAAACCGATTGCCTTTCTGTGTGTCTCTGGGTGACTGACTGTGTGTAGGTGCTGCTTCCATCCGTCTCGCGGTCAGACATACTCGCGCGAACATGAGCAGCCGTGTTAAACGCCGGGTCGGCCATGATGGAGGTACGCGTAATTGGGTGTGCGCAAAACTGAAGTCGCCTCATCCATCTCCGTTGCGTGTGTCCGTGTGTCATTTTTTGTCCATCAGGTGCCACTGCTTTGTCACAAAGCTCAGGCAGGTGCGCGACCAGGTGGAGGCTCTGTACGTCTACGCAGACGAGAGAGGAGTCAAGGTCTGCCCCAAGAAGGCCTCCGGCAGGAACGTCAAGAGCTTCTCCGTCAGCACGTACAAGACCCTCCGCTCTGCCATTGAGTCGGCCATCCGCTATAGAAATGGGATCTACAAGAGCCAGCCCATCATCGGGTGGGAGGAGCTGCTGGAGGCGCACACCTTCCCTGACGATAACGATCAGGTGAGGAGCACGGGGGCCGGGAAACGTGGGTCAAAGAGAGGATCGACGCGGTCAGATGTCTCTCGTCTGATCTCTGTGTACGTCTCCAGGACGCTGGCGGTTCGCGCAACGCCGACAAGAGCACCAAGCGGCGCCGGACAGGTAGGCATGGATGGGGGAACGGATGGGGGGCACATGTCTGTCTGTCGCTCATGGCGTCGTTGTCGTGTCACCTGTGGGTGGGTATGTGTCAGGCTCCCGTCGCGACTCGGCCAACGACCACCACATGCCGCCCTCTGCAGAGGAGGTGCTCTTCCCTAATCCCCCGCCCAACACCTTGAACGGGGGCCAAGCTGCTGCTGCTGCTGCTGCTGCCGCTGGTGGCGGTGGTGGTGGTCCCCCCGCACTCGCACCGCCACCGCCACCAGCGGCGCACAACGGTGACCGCGTCAAGGAGGAGGTGGGAGAGGGCGGCGTCGGGGGTGCTCAGCCTGAGCAAAACGGTGGCGCCTTCGAGCGAGAGGGAGGCGCCGGTGCGGGCGGCGCTGCGCCCCAGTCTGAGGAGCACGGGGGCCACGTCAAGCGGGAGGGAGAGGGCGGGGAGGGCGAGGGCGGGGAGTGGGCTGGTGAAGGCCAGCCTGCCGGGGGGGGCGGCCGCGTCTACGTCAAGCAAGAGGAGGAGGGTCAGTCAACACACGCACAATGAATGTCATGGACGTGGACCTGTATGTCTGCATGTGTTTGTGTGCGTGTGTGCACTGCAGAGACGTTCGTGACGCTAGAGCTGTCCCAGCTCAAGACTCAGGACATCATCAACATATGGGGGCTGGACGCGAACCTCCGAGACCTCGTCGGCAAAGTCGAGCAGGTACACACGCACACAAGTCGAGAAGGTGATGGGATGGGATGGGATGGGTGGGATGGGATGGTGTGTGTGTGGTTCGGTCGCTTTGTGTGTCTACCCATCTCTAGTTCAAGGTGCATGGCCAGTTGCTTGCTGCGGTCCTGGACATCCCCAACTGGCGCAACGACCTGAAGGTGTGGGACAAGGCACTGGGAGGCCACTTCGTGTTGGGCGAGATGTCATACATCAACGGGTGGCTCAAAAGAATCGACCCACATGCGGTGAGTGACTTAGTGAGTCAGTCAGTCAGTCAAGCCCACCTGCGAGTGTGTGTGTGTGTTGGTTTCAGGTGCAGGTGCCTATCCTGGGCTGACGTAGACACACTGCCCGCCCTGACAGTGATGCGGTGGGTGATGATATGTTCACAGAGAGAGTCCGCACTAGTATGCCATGACATCCCTGACGGCATCTGTCCTGTTTGTGTGTTGCAGACACATGGCTGGCTGTCCGGTACCTTCGGTGCGTGGCTTTGCTGTGAAAGTGTTTTCTTCTCTCACTCTCGCCCACCCACCCTGTCTTGTCGGCAGTGACGGGCTGTTTTGCTGACACGGAGGCCATCATCTGTAAGGACATACAGACATACAGACGTACATACATAACGCATATGTCGTCGGAGTGATGTCTGTCTGCATGGTTCATGTCGCCTGCGTGTGGCCCCCTCCCCCCCTCTCTCTCTCCCCCGCATGGACTTGTGTGTGAGTGCTTCATGTTTTGTGGCATGTGTGACGCGGAAGTCTCTGTGAGCGTGTCGTGTGGGACGGAGTCGATGCTGATATGTCGTCCTGCCTTTGCCTTTTATCCAGTCAGATGGTTTAAGATGATGCCTGTCGGTCTTGCATATCTCTGCCTTCTGCCTTCCTGCCTGTCTGCACGTGTGCGACCCAGCTGCCAATGGGCACCTTGCATGTCGTCTTGGTTGGCCCTCCTACGCATAATGACTGACTGAATGAAGGACTTGTATTGTGTTGCGTCGTGTGGTGTGGTGTGGCGTTGGGTGGGGCGGGCCGGATTGATTGACTGATTGATCAGGTGCACGTGCCTGCCTTCACGTGTGCGACTTACTGACCAAACAGACAGACAGACAGACTGACTGACAGGCAGTGACTGGTTGCTTCAGAGCGACCTTTGTGGCCGTGTGTCGCTCACTCACCGATGAGTGGCGGCTGGATATCCATCATGCAGTCCGTCTGTATTGTTCTGATGCAGTCAGCGGTGCGGTTCGTGGCTGCCTGCGATGGAATCACTGTCTGTGTTCATGTGCACGAGTGCGGGTGGGTGTGGGCCTGTGACGCGACGTGACGCGACGTGGTGTGGTGTGGCACGGCAGAGGGGCGTTTGTGTGAGAGAGACCTTAGTGTGTATGCGCTGCCTGTCTGCCACCGATTCTTTCAAGCTTGTGTGTGGCGTCTGCCGGTGTGATGTGACTGGTGTGATGTGACATCTCTGTCGTGCTGTGTGGTGGCTGCCTCCCTGCCTCCCTGCCTGTGCATCGCTCTCTTTTTGGTCGCCCGTCTTTTGCTCTATGGTGCCATGACAGACAGACAGACGAACATACAAACAGACAGACAGACAGACAAACAGAGAGGGAGACAGCCAGACGGACGGAATGCGCGTGTGGCTGGTTGCTTGAGCGACCTGTGTGAAAAGTGGGGCGGATTGATTGATCGTGGTGCTTCATGACATGCACTCGTTTCGTGCCTGTCTGCCTGTCTGCCTGTGTGCGACACTGTCGATCGTCAAGCGTCCTTTTGTCTGTCACAGACAGGCAGCGGCTGAGAGCGAGAGGGGAGAGGAGTGGAAGGGATGCTCGTGTGTCGCACTCACCGATGAGTGGCGGATGGATATCGATGGACCGGTCTGTATTGTGTTGATGCAGTGGATCTTGCGTACCTGCCTGCGATGGAATGAATGTGTTCATGTGTGTGTGAGTGAGTGCGTGTGTGGGCGCGTGACAGCGACGTGAGTGCGGGCAAGTCCTTCCCACTTTTGTGGCAGCCATGACCCTGTGAGCGTCACCCTCTCTCTCCCTCTGTGCACGTGCTTCTTGGTTGGGTGTGCGTGGGGGCTGAGCCTGGCCGAGCCTGGCCGAGCCCGTGTGTGTGCTCTCCGCTACCCCCCAGCGACGCTCAAACACAACAGTACCCAACAGACGTTCTGCTTGTCCGTGTCGTGTCGTCTTGCCTCTGCCTTTTATTCGGTTATGACGTTTCAAGATGCATGACGTGGGCCACTGTGTTGCGCGTGTGATGACTTGGCGGGGTGTGGTGTGCCGAGGACACAGTCATTTCTTTGCCTTTTTCCTTTGTATGCCTTCCTGTCTGCCCGGCCCTCTCTGTGTTACTCTGTTGCCAGGCACCCACTCCCTCACGCGCACACGTGGCTCAATCGTCCAGCGCCTCTCTCTCTATTATCTCTATCTGAGAGTGCATGTGGGTTGTCCGCAGCCATAAGCGGAAACATTTCTGAGTCTGACTGTGCGATTGATGTGTCCACCCCCCTCCCCCCTCCTCCCTCCCTCTCTGCACGTCTGCGTGGTGTGCGCCGATTTTCGTAAAGTGTGGATGGACGGATGGATGGATGGATGGATGGACGGGTGCCTAGAGCACGTCACGGAGTGTGGGTGTGAGGTGAAGTGCGGTTCGTGTGGAACACTCGAGGCGAGGGTGATGCGATGCGACACGTGACTCGATGGATGTGTTGGCGAGACGAGGTCACTGGCTAGGTCACTGGCGCACAAAAGGTCTTGGTTCCACACAAGGGTCGCTGACCCGACCACTCACATGAACAGACAGGTAGAGAGGGATATGTATATATAGAGAGAGGGGGAGAGAGAGATGGGCGTGTCGGCGCATTTTGTGCATAAACAAGACGATGAGTTCAACACACAAAACTGTCCTTCAGTCACCTTTGCACTCGATCTCTATGGGCTCGTCCCATCGCACCTCAGCGCATCACCACCATGGCAGCTTGAATGGCAGCAGGCAGGCATGCCCATTCACATTCGGCTGTCCCCCGAATATGATGGCCTCGAGTTAGGGGAGACTGTCGACGTATAATGCTGCGTCTTGCAAAATTTTGACGATTCCATGGGCGACGATGCGCGACATGGCGAATGAGGTGGCTCCCAGAGTCAACTGGCTGCGCCAAGAGGAGCTGATCAACGGTGCCGTCTCAAGTTCGTCGCATTGCCAAATGCAGTGGAGCCCCTCAATCACTCAGTCTGTGGCGTCGGCTGCGCAACGGCAGCTGAGCAAGACACACATGGTGAAGGGCTTTCTCCTCCTCGCCCTTCTCGTGGCGCCCGCATGCACTCAGTGCCCATCTGTCAGCAACTCCACTGCTATTAATTGTCCTTCCCGCCTACTGGAAGTGGCCGCCGGTTCCCGCAGGCAGCCTATGATTGGAGGCTATGGCGACAGTGCGGACGACATCCATGGGCAGCTTGTCGGCCAGAGCAGGTGGCGTGAGATAGAGGGAAGAATGGATGCGGGCGAGAAACTGCCGCCCTGCCAGACGAGGCAGGCGGAGGTTTTTTCGCTGCGACTGACCCGCAACGACAAGCGGCTGCCATGGAGCTGGCACGATGATGCTCAGGGCGCCAATGCCGAGGTGCTGGATGCAGAAGACCACCCACCCTTCCTGAGGCAGATGTACGCATGCACTTAATATACTCCGGACACTGCTCAGTCTTGTTGTTTGTGTCTCTGGCTCATGCCAGCACCGACCCGCACACGGGCCGGGAGGTCTCTTGGCTGGGCTTCGGTCCAGGTCGCTACCTTGTGACGCCACCTAATGGAGACCGCCGAGTCTGCTATCGCTGGGCAGAGAGCCAAAACGAAGGATTCACCTCCGCAATCCTCATCGCTTTCGACCATCCTCCACCGCCTGGGAAGCCCATCGTCTTTCTCGACACATGGTTCGGCTTCCGTCTCGGCGCGTCCGCCGCCTATGACTATGAGCATGTCCAAGGCCATTCCGACAGTCGGGAGCTGGATGTGGACCCGGATGCGATCAACTTGGGGCTGATCGACCTACAAGCGAGAGAGCAAGACACGCCATTGGAGGAGGCTGGCAGCAAAGGGAGTCAGCCACAAGGGCACGCTCCGCCTGCCGCCGGGATGGTGCGGACGTGCTGGCGGTCGGCCGCGGGCTTCGTCTATCACTTTGTCATGTCGCAGTCGACTTTGCAGATCTTCAAGATGGGCAAGATGATCGGAGAGGTAGCTGTGCCAGCGGCCATTGCGACCAACATGCTGACACCGAGCCCTCTATCGCTGGGATGCGACCACAGGGGCAGTAACTGTTTGAAAGGGAGGGTGAGGTATATGCATTATGTCAACTCGGGCACTCTGACCTCCGACATGAGCGGCGCCGCGCAACAAGTCGCCGACAATAGTGTCTTCTTTCGTCCTGTGTCAATTGGATCGACAGAGAAGTGTCCTCCCTACGCGCAGGTGCTATTGGCTAACGGCGATCCTGTTGAGGCCTACGTCGGCAAGCCAGCCGAGCGACCGAGCATCACTCACGCTGCCAAATATCTCCGGCGGGCGATGCCTCACGGCTCGTTGCTGAGTCTCAGGTGTGTGACCGAGGGCGCCAACCTGACGTACCACGGGAGTGGCGTGGAAGAGGACACCATCAAGTGCGGCGCCGTCAAGAGCGGAGAGTGGCCCGCAAGGATACTCGAGTGCATGAGTAAGCCAGTATTCATATGCCAACTCAGACGCGATGGATCGATGGATATTTGCCGGCTGTCTGTGTCTGCAGAGGACTGCGACCCGACCAATGCCACATGGTGGAATGATACCGACTTGGGTGGTGCCGCTGTCAACCCTCGGTACAAGCTCGTCTCCCCCCGGCGCGCCACGAGACTGCGACACGGCGAGAGAGTCCAAATGCAGTGCGGCCCGGGCTATCTGCCACCCGTCAATCTCCCCTCCGAGACCACCCTCTGGTGCAACGACGGCCACCTCGATCAGCTGGATCTGCCATGCAAAGGTGTGCTAGGGAGGAAAGGTCCAAACATTTTGATTGTTTATTGTGTCGTTGTCTCACTCATGTCTGCCTGTAGATATGTGCCCTTCGTTGATCCTGGCGCCGCCCGACTACACTCAGCCTCTTTCCCGTGTGCGCTATCGTGTCACGGGTGGCGAGCAGGGGCGCCCAGAAGGCGCCACCCGCACCATCCGATGTGCCGAGGACTACCGCCCCTCAACGACTAGCGGGTACAAGCAAGATTCCCAGGTCATCTACTGCCGCCAAGGAAACTGGACGGATGTGGCGCTCCAGTGCATCGGGAGCTGCGGCCAGTTCCGGTTCCCTACACATGTCGACGCCACACGCTATGTGACCGACCCGCCATACGGCGAGGTCGCCACAGGTGCGTCAGTGACGGTGTCGTGTGCTGCGGGGTTTGTGCCGAGGAAAGGGCAGAAGGCTTCTGAGCGACTCGACTGCGTGTGCTTCGGCAAGAAGGACCAGTGCGACGATGCCCACCGCTGGAGGTACACCGAGCCGCGCCTCGACTGCAAAGCCTCGTGTGGACGCCATCCCTTCGACACCAACACCACGGACCTCTACACGGTCGACTACGGCAACACAGTGCAGTCAGTCAGTCACAAGCATGCAGCCCCCACTGTGCCCTACCTGTCGGAGGTGCGCATCACATGCAACGCCACGGCTGGGTATGGTGTGCGTTACGGTCTCGAAGAAGCAGTCACGTCCCAGTGCACTGGAGGAACCCGAGACAGCAGCGACCCGTACACAAGAGTGGACATCCAGTGCTACAGTCAGAGGGGGGGGGGGAGGGGATCACGGACAAATGAGCGGGCACAGGAGACACAAGCTGTTTCTCTTTGAATGCACGCTGTCCTTGCAGGGAAGTGCCTGAGCCCTCCTGAGTCGATGCTGCCGTCCGGCGATGCCAGCAGGAAGTATTTGCTGACGTACACGGGAGGTGCGCCGCGGACGGTGCCTTTCCTGCACGGCAGCTCCGTGGCTCTCTCCTGCGCAGCTAACGCCCACAAGGCCACCGACCAGATGGTCGACAAACAGACACTCGTGTGCATGGACGGCAACTGGACTCAGCGGGCTCTCACCTGCAAAGGTAGGTAGGCAGGTACACTAGCAGACAGACAGACAGACAGTATAAGCCGAGCAAAGCTTAGAAACATGCTGCTGTCTGTCGTGGATGTTTCAATTTATCGATCAGCTGACTGCGGCCCTTGGACGCCGCTACCAACGACCCGTTTTCAGACGTTGCCCCCGCAAGAGGAGCTGGTGCAGAGTCCTTCCCAGCTTCATGGCTTTAGGGTGCGTGTACAGTGCCAGCGAGACCGATCCAAGGCTGCCGTCACAGACCGCGAGCTGCCCAACGAGGAACAGCACGTCACCTGCCTAGACGGGCAGTGGACCCCTCTGACGATCCTCTGCAAAGGCATGCACACACACATGCACACACCCGCACACACAAGAACACAGAAGCAGAATACATCCGCATGTGCTATCTCAAGCGGCTCCCACCTGTTTGCAGTTCCATGTGGGAAGCTTTCTTTGAAAGGGCCGTCGTCTCTGCTGACTACCGCCGGCCAGGGGGTGTCGTTCAGGTGGCCGGAGGGAGCTGTGCCCGAGCCGCGTGCAGTGAGCGACATGTATGTCCTCAGCAGTGAATCGCCGCTAAGAAGTCCTTCGCCCCACGGCACTCGGGTGACGATAGAGTGTGACACGGCCCAGCACTTCCATCCCTTCGCCGGCCCCGACACAAAGGACATCGTATGCACCGACGGGCATTGGAGCCAGCAGGACATAATATGTGGACGTACGTACGTACACACAAAAAGGACCGACCTGGCACACCACACGGCGCTACATAACATACTGCACGGGCAGCACTGCACTGCACACATGTGTCTCCTCTCTCTTTCCCTTCCACCTCTGTGTGCCTGTGGGTGCCTGCAGCTGACTGCCCCGTCTTCCCGTCCTTCGGCCCCCCATCCTTCTACCACTACACCAGCCTGGTCCGCCGGGTCTCATCCGTCGATCGCGTCATCGCACCCGAAGCCGCCAAGGCACCCTCCCTCGAAGCCCCAGTCGCTGTCATCAGCCCAGTGGCCCAGGAATTCTACCGCAAGGCTAGCTACCAGCCATGCGGCGCAAAGCTGAGCGTCCAGTGCAACCAACAAGGGAACTTCGCCCCCAGGATGGGTCCACGCCCAATGCGATCGAGACGGTGACGTGCGATCGTGGACGGTGCGAATTTAGAAATGTGTCAGTTCTTGCACGTGTTGGTTACCCTTCATTTCAGCATCGTGGGCGGTGGCACTTTCGAGTAAGCGTCGAATCGTGGGCGACATACTAAGGTGGAGTCCCTCATGTGTCTCCACAACGCCGCAGGTGTATGGCGCCGTGTGGCCCCTACCCGATTGAGAGGCTGTCTTTTCCTGAGCTCTACAGCATAAGGCCTTTGTCGTCGGCGCCGCCGAGAGAGGAGGCGGGAGAGCCCGAGGAAGGGGGCGCTGAAGAGAGGCCCGCGCCACTTTTCGTGCATGGCAGCCGGCTGCTGATCAAGTGCGACACGGCCCAACGTGCCGCTGCGACGCCCAGAGAGCCCGGGCAGGTCTCTGCCGTGTGTGTCAATGGGACATGGTCTCCCGTCCCGCCACCCTTCATCTGCTCACGTGAGCTGCGCCCACAGACATCCAGACAGACAGACAGACAGGCAGGCAGGCACCTGTGGATATGTGTGTGTGTGCGTATGTGTGTGTTGTGCTGTGTTGTAGAGGAGTGTGTGGCCCCGCAGCTGCCGGCCTCCTACGAGGTGATGGGCACGGTCAAGTCCGCCTACAGGCACGGCGGGTGCAGATCCGGTGCTTCACCGAGAGGTCCTTCTACAACGCCACCGAGAGCAGGCCATCCAACCCACAGACCGCCACTATCGTCTGTCAACACGGCCACTGGTCTGAGCCGAACCCACGACTCGAATGCCGAAGTGGGCAATCAAAGACAGCTGCAGACCGTGACCCCCCGCCTATATATTTTGTGTCCGCTCAGAGTCGTGCCGCGACCTCTCAGAGGTTATCGATCACGACAGGTTTCCTTTCCGCCTTGTCTCTGAGCCTGAGGAACTGCAAGAGGACGCGGTATGCGAAGGCGTCCCCCGGCCACGACCCACCGAGCCGCCATCCACCACGCCTTTGCCGGAAAACGCCAGTGCTCTCGTCAAAGCCCTCGCCATGATACCCCCGATGGAGCCCGACCCTGCCGCCACCCGCCCCAGGATCGACTTCCTTCTGTCTGACTTCCCGCGGCACGGTTCGTGAACACACATGAAAGGCGCCCGTTCCGTCTCGCTGTTTGTGCCTCCCTCTGAATATGCCGTGTGTCTGTCTCTGTGCATGCCATGCAAGGCAGGTTCGTGTGTGATATTCGGGTGTGCGGTGGGCGAGGGGGCAGATGTGGAGTCATTGCAATGGCGGTCGGTGTCGTGTGCTGCGCCTGGGGACACGCGCGGCAACTGGAAGGATGTGTTTGGGTCGAATGACTGCACGACGCTGCGGTGCCTGGATGGGCAATGGACGCCGAGAGAGTTTGACTGTAAAGGTGAGAAGACGATGTCAGGCAGGCTACACGAGCCTTGTACGCATGAGAGAGAGTGTGTGTGTGCATGTAGATGACTGTCCTCCGCCCCTCAGCAAGAGGCACCTGCCGGGTGTGGTCTATGTCGAGGAGCACAAAGACGTATACAAACACGGAGAAGTCGAGTACCTCCAGTGTACAGGCTATGATAGGATCGCCAGCGGCTTTGCGGCCCTCCCGCCCCACCCCACTGATCACATCGAGACCGTCACATGCGACGCAGGGCGCTTTGAGGACGTCACCTTAATTTGCAGAAGTGAGCGACCAAATGATACCGTCCTAAGAAAATATGCCATTCAAGTGGCCACATGGTGATCAGAGCGGTGTCCCCCGTTCTTCCCCCCCTTTGCTCCACTCGAGGCGTATGTGGTGTCTCCCACGCCTGTGTTCGACCCCGCCCTTCTCGACGCCGACCGCAGAGTGTTCCTCTACCAGCTGAACCCCGCTGAGGCGGACATGAAAGCCATGGCGGCTTTGGAGCCCCACTTCCGGCACAACAGTGGCCGGTGGATAGAGTGCGCCAAAGGGTGGAGCGACCCCTCTTGGCCCGCGCCCCGCCCCGACTTTGTCGAGTGCTACAATGGCACCTGGGCCCACCAGATAATCAGATGCAGACGTACGTACGCATGCACGATAGATAAATCGAGAAAGGGATAGAGAGACGACCGAAGACACCAACAATCTATCTATCGGTACGCACTCAGGTCAGTGCCCGGGTGTGGCATTCCACCTGCTCAATCCGGCCTTGTACAAGGTCGAGTACAGCGGCCGCCGCCCAGAGCCCAAGAAGACGACCCGCCAGGCGTCCAGCGACCCGCTCGCAGACCTTATCAACAGGCTGCTGCCCACCAAGCCCGGCGAGCCCATCGACACCTCGCAGACCACGCAGAGAGAGCGAGACACGGCATATGTCTGGGGCGCCCTCAACCGCAGCCGTTTCTACGAGTGAGACAGACAAGGCGCCGCATTCAATTCACCGACCTGCAGCATCTCCTATGTGGCGCCGTGTGTGTGTGCAGCGACGGTGTGTTCATGAAGATCACGTGTTTGGAAGGTGACCTGACGCGGCCCATCGTGGCCATCAAGGCGGAGCAGCAGGCGGCCCGTGCAAGGGGCGAACAGTGGCTGCCCACTGAGCTCGAGGACTGCAGTGACCACCAGTGCGACGTCATGTGCGCCAGGGGCACCTGGACGGAGCTCAAACACTACTGCCACCGTGAGTGAGCACGCCACACACCTTATGGCACATGATGGATGGACGAGCGCACACACGCACATCCGTCCACGTGTCCTTCTCTGTATGCCTGTAGGCCGTTGTCCGCCGTTCATCCCCCCGGAGAGATCCCGCAAGCAGTGCGACCCGCCAGAGCACTGCAAAGAACCGGAGGACCTCTCCACGGTAAGCGAGACATACATACCATGAGCGAGGCACTGACAATTCGACACAGCTTCCTGTCTCCCTCCGTTGGTCGGTCTCTGCCAGGAGGAGAGGAACAATCCGTTCTTCTCCCCAGACGACGGTCTCTGGCGGCACGGCTCTACCTTTCTGCTCAAGTGCACCTCGCCATTTTGTCCGCACCCTGCGCCGGAGAACTCGACTGTCCGATGCAACGACGGGGAGTGGGAAAAGACCACACTCGAGTGCAGACGTACGCACATCTCTGTGTGTGTGTGTGTGTAGCCAGACACGTGGACGCGCCTATGTGTGTGTGTCATGCAGGTCCTTGTCTGGCCAGGATGGATGTGCGTCTGTACCGGCCGGACGAGGAGGCCCTGCGCTACCAGGTGGCTGACGCCGAGGACAATGTCCCGCCGACCGGGGAGGACACTCCACGCATCGACGGCGAGACGGGCCAGCCACTGCCCCTGTACATCCATGGGTCACGGCAGCTAGTGTCGTGCAACACTACGGGCGGCTACCAGTCGGTGCTGCCACGCCCCGCCGACATGACCGCCTGCCAGGACGGCGTGTGGACCCTCACCGCCATCATGTGCAGGCGCGACTGCCCGCCGATTGCCGACTACTTCGCTGCCTTTGGGGAGAGTCAGGCGAGATATGTGGTGGAGGGCGGGGGCGACTCGACGCGCCACGGGACGGTGCTGCAGGTGTCGTGCGCACCGCGGCACTCGCCTGTCGAGGGAGAGGAGGCCGAGACCGTCGAGTGCAATGACGGCACCTGGTGGCCGCTCATACTCAGATACAGAAGTGAGTGAGGGAGTGCGCGAGGCCATCACACATGAAAGGTATTGGTTCGTTCGGTTAGAAATGTGCGTGGACTATATTAAGTGGGCTTCGGCGCACGATCCATCCCTGCTCGACACGTCGCAGTATTGGATCCACCGGCCGCAGGAGCATCTGGTCGACAAACTCATGCCCGCCGGACGGTCCCTCACCGTCATGTGTGCGCCCCTACACTCATCAGTCAGTACGCAGCCACAGTACCATCCATCCATCCATCCCTGCAGGTGTGGGTGGATGTGCGCATCCGTCTGTGCAGTCCTTTCAGGTGGCAGGGAGCACCGCACTGGACCGTCAGCAGATCCTGTGCGAAGACGGCGAGTACACCAAGCGACTCATACACTGCGAAGGTAAGTAGGCACGTGGCGGGCGCGAGTGCGTGAGCCGGCCAAGGCACGGCACGCGCAACAATCACATGATCTATCCATCTGCATGTCCATGGATGTTTCACTCCCTTTCTCCCTCCCTCCCTTCTTCACAGCCAACTGCCCGGAGTACACCCCTGAGCAGGACTACGGCACCGACCCCGACTTCGGCGGAGGGCTTATTGTGCAGGACGTCGGGGTGGGCCTCGACACCATCTATCACACACACTCCATCCGCAACGGGGCCACAAGACGCATCAAGTGCTGCCAGACCGGAGAACTGGCCTATCAGCTCGGCTCGCTGCCGGATGACGCCGATACCAGCTGGTTGGAAAGCTCCATCAAGTGCAGGTGGGGGAAATCAAAGGGCGGGATGGGTGCAGCGGAGTCGGCGACAAGGGGGGATGGGATGGCCTCTGTGTGTCAGGTGGAACTGGGCGTCTTACCTGGATGAGCCGCCGTATGAGGATGAGGTGCGCTGCTACAACGGACAGTGGACCTTGCCAGCTCTACAGTGCTACCGTAAAAAAGAGAAAGAACACACTGCACCCCACCCCAACCACATCAGATGTCTCCTTGGCTGCCTTTGCGGTTCTGCCTTGTCTTTCTGTCTGGCTGCGCAGCCATGTGTCTGCCTTTCGGCCAGGAGATGGTGCACGCATCCGGCAACAGCAGCGACTACCTCCACCCCGTCACTAAACACGTCCTCGGCCCCATCAACGGCCTAGTGCCACCCGGTGCAGAGGCGCAGGTCCGGTGCGACAAGGGCTACCTTCCCGAGCCGCAGCAAGACCTCTGGAACACCAACCCCCCCGTGACGGTGAGGTGCACACGAGGCTACATGACGGCCCCCTACGTCTGCATCAAGACCTGCCCCAAGCCATACCGGGAGAAGCCCAAGATGGTGCGGTACAACATCGGTGGCGGCGACAGTGCCGAGTACGAGGCCCTCACGTACGAGCAGCTGCTCGCCCACCGGCCCTGGATCGTGCGGCACCGGGGCCGATACTTTGCCTTTTGTTACACGCCTGACTGCCGGAGTGAGAATGCGACATCGCTCAATGACACGATAGCGTCGCGCTGGAATGGGACGGGCCGTGTGGAGAAGGGCGACATCGACAAGGACGAGCGCATATTGAGGAAACGGAATGTCGTCGAAGTCAGGAAATATATCTGGGGTTCGGTGGATGGATGGAGGGGCAGACAGACAGACAGACAGACAGACAGAGGAGCTCACTCACTTGCGAACCCTCTGAGGCCGGACACGCCCTTCAGGTGTCTCTCTCTCTCTCTCTCTCTCTCCCCCTCCTCTGTCGGTGTGTATGTCTGTGTGTTGCAGGGTGCTTGAACAGGCGGAGGTCGGTGACGACCTTCGATTATTACAACGCGTGGCAATGGGCGACGACCGCCGGAGTGGCGGCAGCGGGTCTGGCATCTGCTTTCGTGTTCCCGCCAGCTGCTATCGTGACGGGAGTATTGTTGGGGCTCGGGGTTATCGACTTTGGCAGCAGCCTGCAGTACCTACTGGACCAGACAGACAGACAGACAGACAGACAGAAACACAGACCACAAGAGTGCTCGAGAGGCTGGCTGGCTGGTTCGTGTGTGTGTCTGCCTGCAGCATCTATTATTTCAAGTGGTTTTGGCCCAAGGCCATGCACAACGGTTTCGCGGCAAGGGTGTACGGGGAGTGGGGGGCCAAGCAGTACGAGTGCCTGTGGGGCGTGTGGGTGCCCCGCCCTGACGCCACACTCGAGTGTGAGCAATCAAGGTTCCAGCAGACGTGCATCGACGCACACACCACCGTATGGACAAGGAAGAAACACGAAGTGAAACCGAGACACAGCACCAACACCGACACCAAGGCAGCACCACGAGGCGGCCGGGGCTGGCTCGCGGGGTTTGCCAGCTCCTTCCAATCGCTTAGCGGCCGACTGCGGCTGATGTCCAACATAGCTAATGACGTCGAAGGTCGATCAAGTGGTGTCGGGTCACTTTTGACAGCGCTCTTAGAGCTTGTACTAGCTGGTGGTGGTGTGTCGAGGAGTGAGAGGGGCGGCGGGGAAGCAGTGAGATTGGATGGGCTGGAGCCGGTGTCTGCGGCTGAGGTGGAGGTGGGCGACCAGATTCTCTCCTATGGCTCGGGCCGGCCACGACTGACCGAGGTGCATCACTGGGGTGCGTGGGGCGGAGACACGGAGGGGGGGGCCATCCATCTACCTGTCGGTGTGTGTGTGTGTGTGTGTGTGTGTGTGTGCTGGCAGGTTTATTTCAGAGAGTCGTACCCAGGTACCCACACGAACAGACATGGCTAAGGAGGAAAACACACTGTGTGTGACACCTGCATGTATGTGTCCGTGTCCGTCGTCGCATACGGACCTTGACCGATCGCAGCCCAGCCGACGCGTGTCATCGACATTGACGTGGCCACCACACCCTGCCCATCGGGAGCATCGACTTCGTCATCGCTCCGGCTCTCGCCCTCACACCGTCTTCCCGTCTTCAGGCAGCAGCAGCAGCACGGGAGACACAGGCCACTGGTGCGCCGAGTGGTGAGGGCTGACGAGGTGCGACTGGGGGACATGCTTGCCACCGTCGTGGCGCACACTGCCCCACCCCGCCACACAGGCCTCTATTGTGCCAGCCACGAGACAGGGAGGGCCAGGGGCGACAATGTGACGATGGGACTGGAGGGGGAGGGGGGCGTGTTTGCTCATAGCTATGGAAGGGTCACCGGTGTGAGGGGCGCTACCAAGGTATGGTAGCGACGGGAAGCAGCTGCCAGAGGCCTGTCTTGTCCCTGGCTGTGTCCCCGGCTGTGTCTCTATGTGTGTGTGTGGTCTGTCTGTCTCAGCGCTGTGGTCTGGAGCTGTTGTACATGTTGGATTCCCACATGGTGGCAAATGGCCTGGTCATCACCGACAGCGACGAGCCAATGGACGCACACATGCCTTACACGTACCTCTCAAACCTCGACACACGGTGGGGTGGGCGGGCACCTTCTCCTCTCCATCCATCCATCTCTTACGGCTCCAGTCTGGCTGTCTGTGTGTGTGGATGCAGGATGGTGTATTGGCTGTTCGGTGCGGCGGGCGGGGTCAACTCCTCCATCTTTAGAGCATACTGGAGGTCTGTATGTGTTCAGGTGATGGACTCCATGTTGCTTGGCTTGCTCGTGTGTGTGTGTGTGTGTGCAGGTGGAGTGTTGGGCGGAGCGACTTTGTGCAGAGCATCGTCATGAGGCGATGGATGGACAAATGAATGAATGGAACGGCGGCGACTGGACTCCCTCCCTCCCTCCCTCCCTCACTGTATGGTGGCCCGCCTAGTGCCAGAGAAGTAGCTGTGCCATCCATCTGTGTCATCTACCAGACTTTGAGACTCTGTTAGGCTTGTTTCGTGTTTGTGGCGTCCCCGGTAGACCTCTGTACCGCCGGCCAAATGGGATGGCTCGACTTCGAAATATATGTATCGACGGGAGTCTAGCGCCGCTCTCAAGTGCAGGCATCCATCCGTCAAAGCGACACCAGCTAATTGACTAACTACCCACCCCACACCCACCTGTCTGTTACACCCACGCACATACGCAGTGAATGAATGCACATAGATAACATACAGCCTATTTATTGACTTACTACTAAAGACGGAAACCCAGTGCATGAGTGGCACGGCACCTCCTTCCATCACGCCACACAGCCACGCAGTCACTCACATCCCATCGCACAAACAGAAGTGCTCGTCTCGTCCACCCGTCGGTCCGTCTATCTATCTATCTACTGCACCTTCTTTCTCTCGGCTGCTGCCCCTGTTTGGGGGACGGGCCGCTTGTCGGTCGCTGTGGCACTTCTTGTGATGAGAGGCGCCAGTGCGATGACGGCCACGAGCGAGAGGGCCGCGAGTGAGAGGAAGAGGACGTCCCAGCCGTAGGTGTCGGTGATGGTGGCCGTGAGGCTCCCCTGCAATATCGACCCCACGCTGCCAACACCATTCACAAAACCTGCACACCACCCCACAGCAGCCATGGCCAGAGACACACACAACTCGCGTGAGTGTTGTGTATGCCCTCCACTGTATGCAATGCATTGCACACCGACCCGACCGAAGCTTTGTACCTGTGGCAGTGCCCATGGCGGGCTGCGCGTTGTGTTTCTCGCAGAGGTCGCTGCACGCAGCCCCCCCGAGCACAGAATCGGGCCCCGCCACCGCCAGCCCCACCAGGAACATCAGCACCATGTTCGGAAGCAACCCGAACCCACCCGCCTGAGGGGTATAGGGAGAATGGACAGATAGAGAGAGGGTGATCGATGGCTCATGAATGAGCGGTCTGGTTGGCGGGCGGGATGGGCGGGGTGTGTGCTTGAGTGCGTCACGTACATGTGCATACGCCGCTGCGAGTGCGCCTGTTGCTGCCGACATCATGCCCACGACCAGCAGCCGCCGACCGCCGAAGTACTTGTCCGATAACACACTGCGAGGTTGGTTCGTCAGACGGACACACACACACAGCACACAAACAAGGAGAGGGCAGACCATGGCCTGTCTGCTTGGACTGCGTCGACGTTTACCGACCCGCAAGCAATCGAGCCGAGCACCCCGCCCACATCGAACAGCGACGACATGAACGCTGATTGACAACAAGCAGACAGACAGAGAGAGAGTCGCGTTTCTTCCACGCCTGTCGGTCGGTCGATCGGCCTTATTTTATTTATCTGCCTGGCCACCAGCTTGTGAGGGTGGGTATCCGCCCTGTTTGGTGAGGAAGTATGGCAGCCACATCATCATGGTGTACCGCACCAGCTTGATGCAAAAGTACGCCACGCCCAAGTTCATCAGCCCCGGGATCAGCAGCACCTGCTCACACCACCATCCATCCATCCATCCATCCATCGCACCCACGTCTTCTTAAGACGCTGCACCCAAAGGCACCTGTCCCAGCGTCATTCTGTCAGTCCCCTGCCCTTTGTCGCTGCTGCTGCTGTTGGTGCTGGTACTTGATGGTCCGGTGGGTGGGCTAGCCGTGGAGGCATCTGAGTCTGCGGGGGCCACAGATGACTTGGGCCTCTCTGGCGACGGCTGGCTGCTGCCTCCCGTCACCTCGGCAGGACTCTCCTTCATCAAGGCGAAGATGGCCAAGCCACAGAGACCCACCTGACAGACAGACAGACAGACAGACACAGACAGACAGGGCGAGGTGGTCCAGCACTGAGTGGGTGAGTTTGAGTGTGGCCTATGCATATGCATAATGGGATGCCAACTCTCTGACTGACCCAAGCAGCTGGCAGAGTGAAGGCGCTCCGCCATCCGAATGTGGTCAATGCGAAGCCTGCGATGCTGTTGGACAGGACACCACCGATCTGCTGACACGTTGTCCACACCCCTGCAAGAGTGAATGCAACCACAACAATGCCACCCATCCACCCACCCACACATGTGCTTCCTGCCTGCCCGCCTGCCAGACCCTGGTTGCGTACCTACCGAGTGTTTTGCCCCTATTGGTGGCGTCCATCCACGGGTTGAGCGCCTTGATCATCATGGGGAAGCCCCCGCTCTGGGTCAAACCGTTGACGCCCCAGCACACCACCATTACCCACACAGAGCCACTGCCGTACGCAGCGAACACCAGGGCCGCCACAGCCGACCCCAGGTATCCCACCGTCAGCACCCTTCGCGGCCCATACACGTCGCCCAGGGCGCCTGTGAGGAACTGCCCCACTGCATAGCAGACGAGGAAGCCCGTGTCGATGGAGCCCAGCTGCTGCCTCGAGACGCCCAGGTCGGTCTCGAGCGCGCTCTTGACGATGGACAGCGGCTTCCGGGTGAGGTACAGCGACGCGTACGTCACGTACGTCAGCACAAACATGATGCGCCTCCACTGCTGCACGTGCAGGGCTGCCGCCTCGGAAGCAGACGGCCCAGGATCATCTGCAGACACCATCTTAGCCCGAATTACGCACAGATCTTCTTCCCTTGCGAGGAGACAAGTGGAGTGCCTGCCCTTCGGGCAGGCGTATCCGTAAAACAGTAAAGGGGTGTTTGGAAAATCCGTGAAACTGGAAGGGATGGCCGTGAGTAGTTTTCTTTTTTCCCTCCTTTGTTCGGCTGCCGAACGACATGTGGATGGCACCAGAAGCGAGAGCATACTGTCTAGTTTTGCTTAACCAAAACAGCTCTCGCATACGCTGCATACACGCATCGGAATTCCAGGTGGAAAAAACCCCGGTTTTAGGGCTTTAAAGTAACGGAGAGCGACCAGATCGTCTGATCTCGAGTCTACCGGGCATCCATTCACGCAGGCAAGAGAGCAAAGTGCAGGCGGGATCACTACTGCAAGCAGCTGGGGACTCATCGCACAGAAAAGAGGCAGCATCGAGTCACACCACACGACACACACGCACACTGCAGAAACCACACCACCGAGGCAGGCATGCCACACGCCATACACCAACGCGCACGCACCAGACTACCTGTCCGCGGCAGAATACAAACACAGTGCAACCTATTCCCACTTGGCACAA